TTTAAATTAAATAAATATTTATTGAATTATAATAAAAAATATTAGTCCAAAGACTTTTGCACCATACTGTATATACTACTTAAATAAAAATTCAAAAAATAAAAAACCATTACATTATATATATATATACTGTATATATTTAGAATACAATTTAAGTTAAAAACAATTGAATTTTTTTATTTATTAAATTTATTATTTTTTAAAATTTTAAAGTACAATAGTATTGTGAATTAAAAAACAAAGAGAAATAAATTAAATGTAAAAAAAAAAAACATTACTTTAATTGATAAGAAAAACAGATCGCCCTGATTACGTAGAAATTAAAAAAGTAAATTGAATATTATTTTGAAATGATAATTAAATAGATCAATAAAGAGTTATGTTTTGAATTTAAAAGGAATATTTGAAAGAATATAGGCTTAAAATTTTAAATAGTATATAATTTATGAGCATAAAAATTTTGATATTATTATTATTATATATTTACTTATTTTCCTACTTTTTAATTTTATTTATTTAAAAATTCTTTGCGGATATCACGGGTCTCAATAAACAAATTTTATCATTAGGTTTCATAACTTCATTATTCAAGAATAAACATTGACTAAATCCTGCCATTGAAGTAATGCGTTCTGAGACAGACATGTCTCGAACAAGGTGAATGAGTACTGTCTATTTGGAATTAATCGCATCCACAACGCAATTATTGTCAAGTTCCAGGGTGCAATTCATTTACTCATGAAGTTAGATCATATTTCTAAAGTGCAATTGTTTGTGTCGTTTGATCAATGCCAGCATTGGTACTTTATGCCACAGACAAAATAGATACAGTATAATGCCTCGAAACTAATCAATGACACAACACAAAATAATTCCTTTTTTATTAATGCCTTCCATTTACCATATATGATATTTAATTATCAATTTGGGTTTTGTGTTCGATATTTTTCCGTATTACTTGTAGAAGGGATTATTATACTGTATGTCGCAGGGGAACATAAAAATGGTATTAGGATAATTGGTTGTACATGATAATTATGGGTCCGTGTCCTGATTCAGCAATCTATTTATTTACGTGTAATAATGAGATGTTATAACAATGCAGCGCCCATATGACATGCGTATCTCATAAGTTCAAGAATAAATAATGTATGAATATATCCAATAGAAGTTTTGTTCAAACTATTTGTGCACAGGTGCGTGCACCAAAAATTAAATTTTCATGGCGAAGACATTTTGTGTCACGTGCAAATATTTTTATTTTCAACATTGGATCATTGCAATTGTTAATATTTGACGAGCCGACAAGGTTTATTTGTAAAAATTTACATGATATCGAAAATACTACACATGCAACAAAATAACATAACAAAATATTGCATTTTCATCATGTGACATATATGTAGTTAAAAAACAAAGATCGTAGATTCGTACGTTGGCAATCGGTGCCATAAAACAAATATAAAATACGTAGCAAAGAAATTAGGTAACATTGGATATAATTTGTATCCACTAACTGTAACCAAGCAACAAAATTCATATCACCCTTGACTATACATTAAAGATTAGGTATTTAATTTACACGTGCATGATTTATTATTATTCGAATAATAATAATAATAATAAAATTATGTTAAAAAAAATCAAAATATTATTAATTATATAATAATCGTTTCGTTTTATAATAAAAATTTTAAAATAAAAATTTTTTTTTCTTTTTAAAGTTTAATAAAAAAAATGCAACACCAAGAACTCATATATATAACGAAAAATTTCTTTACAATGATTTATACGTTGATCGTACTAATGATATTTATTTATAATAAATATAACAGGAGAATTTAAAAAGCATTGGAAAATAATAGCCTGATAAATTTATAATAATAATAATAATGGATGATATGCAAGTCGAAATTTTGTGATGTCTTTTGATACAGGGTTATAATCATAAATTTACAGAAATGATTTATCCTCGCAAAAAAATAATTTAATCTCTCCTCCGTTAAAAGACTGCCACAGAAGGAATCATATAAAATTCATCAAATTAAAAAATGTATGAATATCATGAATATGGTAAGTTTTATTCCTGAATGAAGTAGAAGAGAAACGATTAACATTCTTTTCGAATCGCACAGTCAACTCTGAAAATAAAACTTACATAGATTAGGCTCGCTCGATATCTCTCTTCCCAATACTCAGCCCTTTCCAAGTCTACCTCGGTTCCGATACCTTTTTTATAGCATTCCGCAAGATCATGTGCGCCAGACTCGCAACCTTTTTCGGCAGATTTTAGGTACATTTCAAAAGCCCTCCTCGGATCCCGTTTCGTTCCTCTGCCATACTGATAACAATAACCGAGTCTATTCATAGCATAATTGTTCCCTTTTTCAATCGACTTCTTATAAAACGTCACACCTTTTAACTCGTCTTTATGCACACCATAACCATTCAGATAGCAGTATCCCAATGCACACAACCCATTCGAGCAGCCACCGTTAGCTGATTTCTCAAACCAAAGAAAAGCCAGGTCATAATCTTGTTTTGCACCACTTCCCTCCAAATAGCTTGCACCCACAAAGTATTGTGCCAGGTGATCATTTTTCTTTGCAGCATTTAGGAAGAACGTGTAGGCCTTCCTCTTATCTACCTCCACGCCAATCTCATGACCATAGAAATAACCTAGAAGACTTTGATATTGAAATGTATCCTTGTTCCTTAGAAGCCATCGAAATATTTGGACGGCTTCAAAGTGAGATTTGTGGATATGATTAATGATGGACCTCTCCACCTCACTATCCTCTTGACCATTTTGATTTCCTTCGTAGAAGATGTTGCATAATTGATCAGCAAGTCTCTTTAGAGCTTTGTTTTCATTCAGTGAAACAACAGAAGATGCGGGACTAGGACTCCGAGAAGTTCTACTGGTTGAAGGGGATGGAACATCGAGAGAAGGAGTCGAACCTTCAGTGGTAGTTGAACTACCTGAAGTCATTTTTAGAGTTTTTTTTTAATTATAAGAAAAAAACAAAAGGTTTTTCCTATTTGTCTGTTCTGTTTTTAGATGCAATTTGAGAAGTTTCTTGAATAAGCGTTAAAGTTTGTCTAGTAGCGCAAACCTTGGAATCCTTGTATAAAGACAAATTTTCAATGGAATATAACAAAGCAAGAATCTTAAATTTTATTCGTTCTTCGAAAACTATGCATGTGTGATATAACGTATATACAGTGTATATTGTTGTTTAATGTGTACCGGTGTTTGCGTAAATTATTTTAATATATGCGTCTTGGTTGGCTTGCGCAAATGAATAAAATATGCGTTGGTTCAGAGAGTAAAAAAAAAAAGTGCTGGATGTCTTTTTCTTTCTTAGTATTGTTCGATTTTAGTAATATCATACGTTCAATGGCGAATAGGAAAGTAAATAAGTGACTAAAAAAAAAAAAAAAAAACTCACATCTGTACCGATAAGTAAAAGAAACCGAAAAATATGGATGAAAATGGAAGATAGAAAGAAAATGGAAATGTGAGGTTACATCTCTAATTCTTAATAGGACGTTATATCAAGCATCTCGCTCTTCAGCGTCTGTTCTATAGTGCCTTTAATAGACGTGATGATGCTTTTTACGTCCTCATTATCTATTAATTTATTGGTTTTAGTTTACGTTTACTTGAATGATATTAGTATGCACATTGAATTGAATTTATTTAACGGTACACCAAACCCAGTATGTACGTAAATATGTGCGGCCGTAAACCTTATATATACAACTGGTTTGAATACCATTCATTGCTTTTCACAGTAGAAAGCGTCCTAGTCCTTTTTTCATACGCATTATACAATTATGCATTGGAGAAAATTCCTATTGTCTGGTCACCTGCGGTTATGGTCATGTGATGTGAGCACGTGCGATTTTGAAGTAATCGAAATCTCGAAATCTTTTTCTCTTTAAAGCCCTTTATAAATAAATGCAATATAAATCAAATAATAATTCAATACATAAAAGGGGTTTTTTTTACATGATTGGATTTTTTTTCTTTAAAGAAATAGTCGATAATTATTATTGAATGCAATGAGATAAAAAATTATGCAGATTCGTGGATTAATATCGTGATTCTAATGAAAATAAAAAAACTCTAATAAATCCCAAATCCCCCCTAACCATTCTGGCTATAATCATTCCTTCCTTTGGCAAACTTCAAACACCTCATAATCATCGATTGAAAATGGTCCATTGCTTTTCCTAATCGGTTTCTCGTAGTTAACCTGTTTACATTCCGTTCCCTTGCCATTTCTATAATTACCGGTCATCTTCAAATCATGATTTCCGAAATTCGGACCCCACCTGGCGTTATAATAAAACGCATAACCAGGATTCGAAACCCTACTTAATATACATTTTCCTTCGCTCAGCGAAAAGATGAAACTATCCCTTGTACTGGACCAATTATCTTGTCTCGATTTTGTGTTCTTGATGCTATTCTTGCCATCCTGAACATTGTTATTCCATTTCAGTGGGTTATACCCACCCAAAATTTCATTCGTACCAGTGACTTTCAAGATAACCACAGTCCGAGAATGAGTGTCACATATATCATGGAATGTTTTGTTCTTGAATCCGTGTTCACTTCCACGCAAGAGTAACTTAAACTCATAAGGATTGTTCGTCACCGTGTAGGTAGAGAGTCGACGATCAATCCATGTAGCAATTTGTGCCGCATGTTCGTTGGTAATTATCTCGGAGAATGAAGGCGGTGGAGGTGGAGATTGCGGCGACTCCGAGCGTAGTGATATCAATGCTGTTGAAGACACGCGCAAAGAATGGAGTGAACTCGACGGGGGAGAACCGAAAGGCGATTTTATTAAATCGCATTCAGGGTATTTTTGCACGAGCTCCATCCATATTGAGGGTTCGATGATTCGTTGGTACGGTCGAACTTTGTTAAAAACATCATCTTCAGTGAGTTGAGAATACCGTATCAATGGTAAACAATGTCTCAGCGTGGTCTTTAACCTGTAGAAGTCCACATCGGTCCACTGTTCTGGATTCGGTGTAAGTGTGGTGGAATTTTGTACAATTCCCCATTTTATAATATAATCCCAAACTTTTGACTCTTCAATCTGCACATCATCTCTTCCCAGCAATGAAATGAGTACAGGTTCCTGCAGAGAAGTGAAATCCTTTGAGCTAAGTACTAGGTCTGGATATTTCGTGACTATTTCTTTACAGAAATTCTGCAAGCCGATTAAGTTTTCGGCTTGGTAACTTGTGTTGTGGATTAGGGCAAAGTTCAAGCATAACCAATCTGCACGAGTTTCTAATAGGTAGGATTCAAGGTATTTTACAAGTTCATCGAGAAAGAATTCATTGGCTGCTACCATTAGTTCGAAAATCATTGAGGCTTCGAGGTTTTCTAGTGCGATTATACCACCGTATAGGTATCTAAAAAATAGATAAGTTTAATAATTTCTCTCATAATAAATGAATATAGTTTAATATAAGAATTTTCACTTCACGATGACCCCAAACACCTCGGGCTTGATGTGTTTCTTCCTGATCTCTATCACATTCTCACTGTTCCTAGGGCTCAAGTCCGTCAATTCTTTGTTAAAATATTCGGATCTGAATCTCAATATTGCTGAATGTAATTTAAACGACGTCTTAATCTTTTTATTCGTGTCTTCATCAACGCTACCCATTTGGTTTGTTTTGCTATCATATTCCTCCCCATTGTCATCTCCTACATTTATGATCACGTCGTAACCATCTCCAAGTTCAAGAAGTTTTGTGAAATCCTGCGATAGTTTGTCATAAAATTTTGTCGGCATCCTTATTCATTAAGAAAAGATGATAATTATCTTTATGTGGTAGAACCTTTTTCCTTTACTCTTTTTTTTTTCCTAATAAACAAGCGAGGGAAAAAATTGATGTACCGTATCAAGAAATAAAATTATCGATTAATACAGTATTATATACTTTTTATAGATATGTACACACCCTGAACTCCCGCCCAATTTTTTATGCAAATCATCTTAACAGTTATGGATCATTATTCAGTTTTTTTTAGTGTGTTACCATTAATTATTGTCATTGACCAGCCCAAAATAACAAACAACCTGTCTTTATCGATTATCTGCCTACGGATACATGGTGTTTTCTTTAAATTTCAAATATGCATGATTTGGCGTCCCGTAATTTCCTATCCATAAAAGGTTTAGCGTGAGAGCGAGGAAGGAACTTGTGAATGTCATAAGGCATAACACAAATTTAGAACTATGAAAGATTGTTCGTGATCCAAACATGGTGTAAACTTGTAGAGCTTCAGGATGATTTGCGAGGCTTAGGGTTACAAAGCGTCACAGAGAAACCACGCAAACCATACATAAATGTTTTGCTTGGAGATTTTTCACATAAAATGTTTTTACTTTGTAGATTTGTCGCATTAAAAGAATTGATCAAAAAGGGAAAATTCGAATATTCTTTGTTGCATTACTTTCTATCTCTTTTCCATTATTAACTGTCTTTATGTGTGATATGAACTTTTTTTTTTAATAATGATTATTTCCCTAGCGAAAAAGATTACGTCGTCGCACGTACGTAGTACGTATCGCCCAAGTATTTTCATGCTCCAATGTTTCATATTTGCTCCGTGTCACATCTTTTTTTTGTGTAAAGTTACATTCCATGGGCGCACACGACCTATGCGATTAGATATATTCTAAATGTGTACAAAAAATTTTTTTAACATTGCATAAATGACACATCGTGGTTTTACAGATCACGTAAGCGAAATTTTGAAGTATTTGATTATAATCAATAATTTAAATATTTTTTTTGTTTTTTTATTCAAAAAAAACTCTTTAAATAATATTTCAAAAAAAAACAAAACCATATAAAATTATATAAAATCATGTATAATTTAACATAGGATTTTAAATTAAATAAAAAATTTTATATGCATATATTAAACGAAAATTTAGCTTTTTAATAATTTTTTGTCTAAATATTTATTTTTATAAATAACAATTGTTATAATTTGTTACATATGATAGTTAAAAAAAAAGTTTTTTTAAAACTTATTTGATATTAAGTTTTATAATATTAATTAATTACATTAATAATAAGCATATAAGAAATAAAAATAAAAAATATATAATAAATTACAATTCTAGTTTATCAAAATAAAATAACATTTAAAAAAAAAACTTTTTTCTATAAATTAATTTTTATCTGAAAATTTTTTTATTTGATAATAGCTTCTCCAAAAAACTTTGCTTTTAAGTACTTACAACTACTAAATAACTCTTATCATAAAATACTTCATAATTAAAAACAAAAAAAAAATTCTTATATACAGTATAACAATTTATCAAGATTGAAACTAACTCTTCCAAATATACTATCTTAATCTTAGCAATAATAAAATAATTTGAATAGAATTTGTAAGAAATCTTTGCATTTCCAATTTAATTAACTTCTTTAATCAATTATTCATTATAATAGAAAAAAAAATATCAAAGAAATTATAAAAAAAAGCTTTATAAATAATAATTATATTCTTAACTTTACAACAGAAATTAATAAAAAAGAAGATCAAAACAAATTTTTCTAAATCCAAATTTCTCTCCCCAATACAAAAAACACTTCATTTAACTTTTAATACATTAGTAATATTGTAAAAAAAATGAAAAAAAACTTAATTAAACATTGAACTTTATAACAATTTCTAAGAATTTTTTGCTATCTCTTATAGAATAACAAAAAACTTTAACCAATTTACTTTCCAAAACAATCTACTATCTATTACTTCTCCTGTTTCTCAAAAAAGAAATATTAATCAAACATTCACAATACATGCATATATAAATTTATTGCATATTACCTTAATTTTTACTTAAATTAACAATTTCATAAAAACCAGTATAACAATTGATACATCAATAAAATTATTTAATTTGAATTCCATTAAATTCAAACAAATCCATTAAACAAATGTTATTTCAACTATTCCTTTTGATAATTACATAACAATATTCAAATTTAGTATGAAAATTAACAAAATCCTTTCTACAAATTAATTAAACCTAATAATAATTAATACGGTAATATTGTTGACTTTAATGAACTTGTTAAAACTTCTATCTAAATTAAAATTATATTATATGTCTAATTATTCTTATTCAAATAACAAGTCCAAATAGAATTTCAAGAAATTAAAGATATTAAACAATATAAAACACTTAGAGTTGACACTGAAAAACTAGTTAACAATTTTTTTCAAGTATCAAACAATATACAAATCATTATTTAAACTATTGATATTATTATTAAACTTCTTAAATATTTATTCCACTATTTGAAAACAATAATAAATAAAATTAGTTTTAAAGATTATATATCTTTTAACTTTTTTATTCAAAAAGAAGATATTATGCCAACTTATTAAAAAAATTTTATTGAAATTGAAAAAGACTTTCAAAACAAATACAAAATAGAAAATAACTTATACTTTATTAACTTTGAAACAAAAAAAAAATCTATATCATAATCTATATTATTCTATTAATAATATATTTATATATTATTAATATCAAAAATATTTTCTATTATAAACTAGCAAGTCTTCTTATTTACCTTATTAACTACTTTATCAAAAAACCAACTTTTATTTTCAACTACACTTTTATTAAAAAAAAACTCAAAAAATATCTTGTTAACTTCCTTTTCAACCTTCTATTTGAATCAACTGAAATTTTTTTTCAAATTAAAGTTAAACTTTCTACAAAAATCCAATATCAAATAAGACCAACTTGATTATAATACTTCAAATTCTAGATTTTCATTACAAATTTAACAAACTTCTTGATATTTATTTCAAAGAAAATCTCTTCTTTTAAAAAATCCAAATAATCTACTAACCAAATACAATATTGGCCTGGAAAACAGCAAGTCAGTCACTTCACTGGTCCAAAGATAGGGTTATTAAAGGTATGTTGAGACATGTAAGATTGATTTAGCTGGGGCTTTCATTATTAACAAGCTTTTCTCTTCTTTTTTGATATCAGCTTTTCTCTTGATAATTCCGGGCTATGTCCTATAGCAGCAATTATTCTTTCCTAGATGGTGCATACTTAAAAATGTAAGTTGTTAATTACAATGTTTCTTTTCTGGTGCTTCAATTTTACTAATTACTGTGTTTATTAATTGCTCTATTGTTTTATCTCTATTTCTCTATACATTATCTCTATATCCTATCTATTATTTGCTTTACAATTGTATGGCTATTTATATCATTGCTACTACTAAAAACAATTAAGGGAAAATAGACTATCAGGACTAAAACAAACTATGAGTAAATTATGTAGGCTTCGATGACTACATTTCCTATGCTGATTATTAATGCTACTTTATATTTCCAGAGTACTTGACTATATTATATAACTTTTATAGGGCTAACAACAAAAATAATTTTTTTATCAAAAAAAAAAGTAATCTTAATAATTTCTTTAATTACAAAAACTATTTATATAAAAAATACATAGTCCTATTCAATTACCTTATATACAGTATATTAATTTCTACTATCAAAAAACTATTTCTAACAATATATCAACTCTTAAATTTCAAATACAAGTATATTTGCCTCTTTAATTCAAGAGACAGTAATTATATCTTATAAGAATTCATAACCTTATTTAGAAAAACTTATTACTTCAAATTTCTATTTAATGATTTTTTTTATCAGAACAAAACTTCACACATCTCTTATCAAAGTCTTATATAAAATAAATATTCTTTTTCCAATAACAAATCCCAATAATATTTCTTTTCTTTTCAATATATTAGCCAAAAAATATATCTTCACTAGTCTTCTTTTTAAAAAGTAAATCAATTTTTCTTTATACTAAACTTTAATTCTAATTCAAAATCAAACTGATAATACAAACAATAATGAACAATCTATTCTCTTAAACAAATCTTCTTTCCTAACTGACTACTATAAAATAAATAAAAAAGCAGAAACCAATTTTCTAATCATCAAAAAAATCAACACTTGTCTCAATATTGTTAAAGTCTATCAATTTTACTAGTTCTTAAGAATTTCTAACAGCTGGATTCAAATACTACTAAACCTTATTTCTAACTCCACTTAATTCAAAAAATTTCTTGAAGAAAAACATATACAAATAGAACTCTTAATTATCAATAATGCCAATTTTATTTTAAAAATCTATAAACTAAGAGAATATATATGTTTTTAAAGATTACCAAACAAATATATTACATAAATTGAACTTCCTGAACTCTTAATCAAATTCTTTAAATTTTTTTAACCAATGAATACAAATTTAATTAAAAACCTATTAATATTAAAATTTTTTTTGAAAATTATCACAACAAAAAATAAATCCTCTTTATTAGAAATCAGTTTATTAAATATTTAAAGTCTCAATAACATAACCAAAATTAATTGTCTTTAGGAATATAACAAAACAAACAATTATGACATATTTGATTTCTCAGAAACCAAATTTTAAACATAAAAAAATACCTTAAAACATTGAAAACTTTTTAATTCACTTAAGCAATCTCAATTAAAATCAAGTAGGTAAATTTATTATTCTTAATAAAAATTTTCAAAATCATATATACAAAACCTTCAAACTCAAAAAATATTATTTATATATCTCCAATTTAAATCAAAAATCAAATTTTGTATAACACAAGTATACATTCCATATAACATTAACCAAAGAAAACAAACATTTATTTACTTTTACAAACTTATTAATAACAACTCATCAAAAAACATCTCACATATTATAAT